GTGGGGAGTGGTTGGATGGGGCGTGGGAGTCCCTGGTGTCTGTCTGGGGGTGGGGGTGTGGATAAGGGTTGGGGCAGTCAGGGGACAGGTAGGGGGTAGGGTCCTAGGGGGCCAGTTAGGATGGGGGGAAGGTCTCAGGAGGGGGCAGTCAGGGGACAAGGAGCAGGGAGGCTTAGGTAGGGGGTGGAGTCCTGGGGGGCAGTTAGGGGCAGGGGTCCCAGGAGGGGGCAGTCAGGGGAGGAGTGGGGGGGAGGGTTGGGGGTTCTGAGGAGGGCGGGAAGTGGGAGGGAGTGGAAGGGGCAGGGGCGGGGCTAGGGCAGGACGGGGGCGGGGCTCCTCCCGTCCTCTTTTTTGATTGTTGAAATATGGTAACCCTAATCCCTGGTGCACATTCCAAACTGCAATCTCTTTAACAATTGGAGGTCTTTACCTTTCTTGAAAATTTGTTTAGTACTATTATCATAACCAAGTTGTAATACAACAGTTATGCTGATATGACTATAGTAACTTAGGCCAATTTTTTTAAAGGTATTTAGGTGTTGCTGGGCTCAGAGTTACAATGTCTAACTGATTTAGGAGCCTAAAAGTCATTTTCAAAAGGGATTTAGGTACTTAGGAGCCTAAATCCCATCAACTGCCAATTCCTTTTGGAAATGAGAGTTAGGCTCCTAAATCAGGTGTTACAATGCTGAGCACAGCAATGACCTATATACTTTTAAAAATCTGGCCCTTAGTAATTTGTGAGCCATTTATTAATTCAATTTAAACTTTGCAATTGACTTTATTTTTATGCGGTGTGACTTGATCATTTCTCTTGTGTCTGATCTCTTATTTTATACTGCGTATAGATTTATCCTTGGAGTATCCTCCTCCTCCCTCACGCCCGCCTCTTTAATGTGTCCTATTTAATGTGGTTTCTAGTCCCTCCTAATTTTTATTTCTTTTTGCCTTCTATTGAACTAATAATGTGTTTTTTGGTTTTGTCTGTTCAGTTTGGACCTCTGGTGTCAAAGACGTATGTTGGAAAGTATGTTACCATATGGTGTAAATGTGCACCATGTTAAACTCCATTGGCATTATTATATTTTTCTATGGTAGGAAAGCAACAAAGTTTAGGGAAACCTAAAAATATGGATCCTTATGGAAATCTTGTCCAGACCTTTTGATATTTCCCTCCTATGCCTCCTATCCTTCCTTCTGTCTCCTGTCAACACAGTTACATATTTCTCACATTTCCCCATTTCCTGTCCTTGTCCTCTCTGTTTTTGACTGGGCTGACCCAAGAGTGCCACCACACAGGACCCCACCCTTACCATATAGTCTGAGCACATATTTCCAGGTCTAGCCCTATTCTGAAAATCCCATGCTTCATGACCCCAAACACAGAAGTAGTGGAAAGAGGAAGGTGGTCAGCGATGAAAGCCTAACTTCCTTCTCTTGCCGAAGGACAATCTCTGGATTCACTGATACTGAGAAATGGATAGGGCCCCCATTAAGCTATTTCCTTGCCCAGCAGTGTTGGGATTCCCTATGAGACTTATTTCCACTATGCTTATCCAGAGCACCTTGTTCAGTTTTGGGAGAACACTTCATCCAGTTCTCTGGGATCCAAAAAATTCAGTTTGACTCCAGATTTAATCATTCAGGTTCTTTATTTGTCATACAGCAAAGCTATGCTGAGTTGATCAGACTCAAGTGTTAGGGGGTGGGTATAAGGCATACCACATCCGAAGTTGCAAAGAAACCCTTTCCCTTCATATACATTTACACATCTCATTGCATTTACTGTACATTGCATCACACTTTTTGGGGGTTGGCTTGATCACTTTGCAGGAACCAATCCCTGTACAGCATGCTCTGTCCACAGGGCCGGCGCTAGGATTTTTGCCGCCCCAAGCTAAAACAATTTTGGCCGCCCCCCCTCCCCCCGTTTTTTAATTACCCCACCCCCGGCCCCACCTCAACTCCGCACCTTCCCCAAATCCCCAGCCTGCCTCCTCCCCCCAGGGTCTCAAGCCTAGGAGGGAGGAAGGGAGGGGGAGCAGCGGCGCGCGAATCAGCTGTTTCGCGCGCCGCAGCCGCTCGGGATCTCC